ACGACACAAAGTCCGCGAAGAAGGGCGGTGAGCGTCAGTTCAACGGCCTTGTGGACTGCTACGTGAAGACGTGGAAGAGTGACGGCATCGTTGGGCTCTACCGTGGATTCATGGTCTCGTGCGTGGGTATCGTGGTGTACCGCGGCTTCTACTTTGGCTTGTACGATACTCTTCAGCCAATGCTTCCCGTGGACACCTTTATTGTGAACTTTTTGCTTGGGTGGGCCGTGACGATCGTTGCCGGTCTTCTCTCCTACCCGTTGGACACTGTCCGCCGTCGCATGATGATGACATCCGGTGCCTCCGTCAAGTACAAGAACTCAATGGACTGCATGGTGCAGGTCATCAAACAGGAGGGTGCTGCATCTCTGATGCGTGGTGCTGGAGCGAACATTTTGCGTGGCATCGCCGGTGCCGGTGTACTCGCCGGTGTGGACGCGCTAAAACCGATGTACATCCGGTGGCGCATGGCTGATCAGTTGAAGTAGGACGGTTAAGGAGAAGAGTAGTAATGTATGCTTTTGGGTATCTATGGTTGTGTTTATTTTTATTTGTAGAATTGTTTTTGACCGACGTGTTAAGTGTGTGTTCATTTCTCTGGTGGTGATTGGACTTGCAATATTCATATGCTAAGGAGCAAAACGAAAACCCCTCCCCCCCCCAAAAAAAAAGAAAAAAAAGAAAATCAGTAATAATGCAAACAATGAGATACGTGTGTATTATATGGGAGGGCCGGTAGAATTAGCAGTAAGGGCGTAGAGGAAGGCAAATAATTCAAAATAAAAATACTTATGTAAAGTGGGGTCGGTGAGAAGCATTTTATTTATTATTGTTTTTTGAGAGACGGTTGACCAGGTGGTGAAGGTGGTTTCTGTGCTTTGAGGAATAGGCTTTTTAGTCATTTTTTTTCTTTTTTTTTTAGGATGTGGCGATATATCGAACATGAAAAAATCAGCCATTTTAGCGTATATTGTTGCGGTGTGTGTTTGCATCTTGCGTTTATATTTGTTGTTGAAGACGATCTGATACATTTTACCTAAATAAATAAATAAACGTAATATATATATCTATATATATATATATATATATATGTATGTGTACTTGTTTGTAGTTTTATGAATGATTGTTTTTTGTTTCTTGTTTTTTGACGTATTAAGGTTGGGAATGATGAACATCACAGTTAGAGGATACCGTGTTAATTTATCTGTGTGTCCATGTTTTCCCCGTTTTTTTTTGTCTATTTGCGTCTGGAATGACTCCTGCTGAGATTATTATGGGAGCTATGTGCACATATTACTTTTCTTTTTTCCATTTTGCTTTTTGTTGCTTTCGCCGAAATGACGTCGTTGGTTTTTCGTGAGAGATATTAGTTTTTAATTAAGAAAGTAAAGAGGTGTTTGTAGCTTTTTAATCATGCCCCGTGGCCAGATCATGACGGGGCAGGACTGGGAGCCTCAGGTGTTTAATTTCCAAAACAAGAATAACGCCAATAAAAAGCCTGGCCGTGTGAGCGAATCCGAGGCCAACCGCGTCCTGCAGCGCGGAGGAAATGTGGATGTTATCAAGAAGGAATACTTCCACGCAAATGCCCAGAAGACGGATCTTGGCGCCAACGCAAAGAGGTTGGACGAGGACAGCGATACGTTGAGGGTTAAGCGCGTTGATAATGCTTTGCGCATCAATATTCAGCGGGCACGCCAGGCAAAGGGATGGACGCAGCAGGACCTGGCGAGAAACATTGCGGAGCGAGCCGGAGTTGTGACGGAGTACGAGAACGGGAAGGCGGTACCGGAGGAGCGGGTGCTGGTAAAGATGGAGAAGACATTGGGCGTTCATCTGCGTGGGGTGATGGCTGGGAAGCCATTCGGAGGCGGCACCCACCAGCAACCACCGCAGAAGAAAAAGGCTGTGTGAGTACCTTCGCTGTCTAGTTTCCTGGATATATATATATATATATATATATCTTTCTCTGCTGTTGCACTTTCTTTTCTCTCATACACTTCAGAACTACCGACTCGTGAGGCATGAACTGAGGGCACTGAACTGACTCGCATTCGAACATGGACCAAAAAGAAAAAAAAAGTAAAACGATATAACTGCGACAAACAAAAAAAAAAAGAAACGAACTAAACTAACTTCGAAGTTATATGAATGCATTCAGGGGACGCCTTCAGTGTGAGAATAACAGCGATCGAAATAAAAAAAATACGGAAACAACTGCCTATTATTCTGGCAATGTGAGGAAACGGTGTTTTGTGCACTCGTGGGCCTGCTTGGCTTTCTTTCTTTCTCTCTTCCTCTCTTTTCTTCTCTGGTTGTGTAAATGGGTGTAATATACTCATTTTTTTTTATCGTTGTTTCTCTTCTTTTTTATACCTGTTGTGAGGATTCTAGGCGCTGTTTCACACTCCGTGAAATCCGTGTGAGACGGGAAGCGCAATAAGTAACTTTTAGTCCCTGGGAAGAGAACGGGCTGACGAGCTGAGTTTTCTTTTACCACAGTTGCAGAGGGAGGTAAGGTGATACGTAAACAGAACGAAAACTGAAGGAAAAAAGAACACTCCGAGTGAGGAGGAAACGGCTAAACGCAGGAGGAACACGACACACATCACTGGATATATTACCCATTATTACTGAAACACGATACGAGAAGAGGAAAGGCAAACTGGATAAAGTCGCAGAGGAAAGGGTAGTAAATGAATCGGTATACAATTTTAGGTCAGCTGGGCGACGGCTCTTTTGGAGTGGTGAGCAAAGCTCAGCACTCCATTAACGGGGAAATAGTGGCGGTAAAAAAGATGAAGCAACGATTTTCTAGTTGGGAGGACTGCCTGCAGCTTCGTGAAGTTCAATCGCTTAGGAAGTTGCAGCACCCAAATATTGTGAAGCTCAAGGAGGTGGTGCGGGAAAATGCAGAGTTGTTTTTGATATTTGAGTACATGGAAATGAATTTGTTCAATATTCAGCGAATGCGAACAGAACAGATGAGTGGGACACAAGGTTGCTTTAATGACCGTGAAATTCGTAGTATCATGTGCCAGACCCTACTAGCTGTGCAGGCAATTCACAAGGGTGGTTTTATGCACCGTGATTTAAAGCCAGAGAACTTGCTGACAAGGGGGGATATTGTGAAGGTGGCTGATTTTGGCTTAGCGAAAGAGATTCGCTCTCGGCCGCCCTTTACGGAATACGTCTCAACCCGTTGGTACAGGGCGCCTGAGATTATCCTGCGTTCTACTCATTATAATTCCCCAATAGACATATGGGCGTGTGGTGTGATTTTTGCGGAGTTGTATCTTAATCGTCCCCTCTTTCCAGGGTTATCGGACAGTGACCAACTGTTCAAGATATGCTCAGTGTTAGGGGCACCAGTCCCATCAGAGTGGGATGAGGGATATCAATTATCACGGCGTCTAAATATGCGTTTTCCCACTGTTGCACCTACACCGCTGCGACAAATCCTTCCGAACACTCCATCAGCTGCCATTGACTTGATGGAGCAAATGTTGCGGTTTAATCCAAGTGATCGTCCCACAGCCACGCAATGCTTGAAGCATGCCTATTTCACAGGGGCCACCAACGTTTCGGGAGCAGGGGGGACAACAACAGCCTTGTATGCGGGCATCAGCACAGGGCAACCACATAACCCGTTTCAGCTTTTCTCAACGCAAGCTTCAGCGCCCAATGGACCATCTCACGGGAGTGTGGGTCTTAGGACTAATGGGGGAAGCTCACCTCCTGCATTATGTTCTACCTCGAGGCTTCTTTCCCCTGACTCAAGCATACCTGGACTTCATCCGTATGTCAATGTCGTGCGCTCTGCTCCACAGAGAGTTTCTAAGGCAACCACTAACGATGATGAATTCAACTTTTAGTTCAGGATATGAGAGCGATACACTTTGCCCTTTGTTACTTTTGCTCATTTTTTTTGTCATTTGTTCTTCATGGAGGGTGATAAGAAACTCAGAGCAAGTTTGGACCTTACTCCTCTTCAGTCGCAGAGTTTAGAGATTTATGGTTGGTGCCAGGATTGAAAGGTCTCTCATTACACGTCGAATCTTTGATTTGTTCTTACTGCTTTTTTTTTTTGCGTGTGTTATCATGAACTTATTCTCGCCTTTTTGCGTTATGTCTCCAGTCTATTATGTGCGTATTCTGTATGGGGCGGGGTTGACGCATTAGTGTGCAGTGTACCTGTGCTCCGAAACGGACCGTACTCGCATTGTCCCTGCCTACGATGAATATGGTGGGCTCGGGCAGCGAGGGGAAAAATGGTAGGATGAGGGATGTGCCTCTGGCTTTTTGTGTTCAGTTGATTTTTTTCTGTTTGACTTTTCTCTTTTTTTTTTTTTGGTGCTACTACTGCTGCTGTTGCTGCTGGTGGTTGCGGTGTGGAAGAAGGATTTCATTACGGTTTTCTTCCACCGTTAGACGTCCGTTTTTTTTTTTTTTTTTCAGAGGCTTAAAAAGAAAAAAGAGGGCCAGGGAAGCGGTGGATTGATAAAAGCGATGTTGTTGATGCGGCTGGTTTTCTTCACGGCATTGCTGTTACTTCACTCTTCTCATACGGAAGGCACTTTCTACGTTGTGCGAGGGGGATGCACCGATGATTCTGAAAAATGGACTACACGTATTGACTCTGCTATCGAAAATGAGGCCGTTGTTGCGTTTCTTCGTACTCAGGGGATACCTTTCGCTGGAATTGCCGGATATGTGCAGGGTGGCAGCGCCTATTGGAACGATGGGTCCGCAATGAAATGGATGCCGTCTGGGTTTGACCCTTCCTCAACGGCGGACGCCGGGTTTCTTGTGGTGCGAGGCGATGCCTCATGGGGGGTGGAGGTGTACGACGTGTTTCCGGATACAGTGTTCATCTGCACAGATGGTGAAGTGGTGCTGGACACCACAACCACAACCTTCAAGAAGGCGTCCGTCACAACCACAACAGAGGCAGCTACTGAGGCATCTGCTCCAGCCCCCATAGAAGCGCCAACAGAGGTGCCCAATAATGTTTCTGAGGTTTTGGACGCTTTGGCGACCACGATGAGTGCAGTAGGCACTTTTGATATTGTTCCTTTGACCACGAATTCTGTGACGGTGCCCGTTAAAACAAAAAGCTTGCTACAACATTTAGACGTACTTAGTCTGAGACACCATTACTTTTTTGGTGTAGCCCTCATAGAGAAGGGGGGTGCTGTGAAGCCGCAAGGGGTTTCAACCTTGATGCGTGGATCAGAATCGACACTGGAGTTCATAGTGCCCTTGGCCTTGATGGACTCTGGTGTGAAGCAGTACACGATGTGTGTTGTGGCCGTAAGCAAAATGGGGACTCCCACGTATCGTCAAACAGGCGCCATGCTTCTTATTCATTCAATTGGTGAGGTGTTACGGAACTTAAGTGGCAGCGTAGAAATTAACGAAGAGGACATCGTGGATGGTGGGGACGTCATACGTCCACTGCGTGTCATGGGGCCAGGAACTATGGTGCAACATGCTATTACGGTTTCCTCGCTTACTTTTAGTGGTCTCTCCCTCACCATGATTAACCATCGCAGTTTGAGGAAAACCTGCACACCAAGTAATTTGTCCATTAATTTTGTCTTTTCAAATGGCAACTTACATCTATTTCTGCCGAAGGAATACGTTGAACGCGTGAAGACGGCTCCGAGGAGTCTTTGCGCCTCAGTAGAAGGCAATAATATCGTTATTGCAGACCTTGAAAAGAGGCGATGGTCCTTCACTGCAGCCAATTCTTACTACGCGTATGGTGAACCAATCAAAGTGCTGGCCTTGGGTGCTTCTTCCGCGGCAGTGGCAAGCCGCATGTATTCGGCATTTCTGTCACACTCGGATCTGTGTTCTTCAGTAGACGACAATGCTGTGTCGTTGCAGCTTGAAACTTCAGTTGCTCCTGCAAAAAGTTCCCCATCGTCTTTGCCCCGGGAGCAGCAGGAATTAACGCTTTACCTCAGCGCTGCTTCAGCTGGAAAGCATGCAGGATACTTGTGTGTTCAACATATATCAACCAGGAGAAACATTCGGATCGTCTCCTTGACGGGGTTACATGTGAAGGTTACGGGTGAGTTGCCTACGTCGCGCTCTTCTGGTTGGGTAACTCTTTTCAATGGCTCGACAGGATCGATTGCGCTGAACGACTTTGTTTTGCCTTCGCAATCCGAGAGAGATGTGCAACATTTTAATGCCATTTCGCGCTTTATCATGCAAAAATCCCTGCATGTTCAATTTTTATCATTGCCTGTGGGTGCTCGCTGGACAACAAAGCTACAGAGGTGTCGTGACAACACTGCTAGAATTGAAATAGAAGCTGCCGCGTATGGGGGTTCTGTTCATATTAATGCCCCTCTTTTTTTTTTGGATTCCGCGGGAATTCTCTGCGCAGGAGGCGAGTATCTTCGGGTGGACTATAGGGTTTATGAACCCTTGCAGTGGCTTCAGCGATTTGGTGACTCTGAGGACGCCGTGGTTTCCACCGTAGTGCCAAGTTTGCCAAGTTCAGCTATAAGAGTGAAGATTGCGAATTGGGATATGTCTTCTCACTTTGCAGTTCGTTTCGCCGTAGATAGTAGCTGTCGTGTTGGTTTCACGGCCAATGTTTGGCAGGCCTCGGACGCCGTACACGCTGTTAGTTTATCCAATATTGTTAGTGGAAGTTTTGCGCTTTGTGTAGGGATCTACACCGCTGCTGGGGAGACTTCAATGTTTGTGTCCAGCGATCGTATTGTTTTGTTGATGCCTTATGAGGCAGGTCTAAAGGTTTGGGAAAAGGAACAAAAAGTGCTGTCTGGAACATGGACGCTGTGTGGGGCATCTTCTGTATGCGGGTATGTGCCCCCGCAACCCTTCTTGGAGGTCTGTGGACGCCATACCGTGACGCGTGCGTGGCCCATCATTGTCACGGAGAAGTTTTATTCTCTCGGAAGCTTCAACGTGAAGTTACGCGGGGAGGCTCAGATCTATTCCGGTGCTCTAGTTGAGGATAGGGTATTTATCAAGCGAAACAACTTTACCTGCCAAAATATTAATCTTTCAGAGATGGGTGAAGGCGGGAACCTGTACAGTACATCAGCTGTGGTAAACCAGGAGCACTCCATAGTAACGCTAAATTCAAGTGCACCACTTGCAGGTGTCATTCTTGGCTTTGCCACGTGGGATGGAGGTTGTGACGCCGAGTCGATTCGACACAAAGCCCTTATTTCCACTGTATTTCCCACTACATCCCCCGTCTCAGCTTTGGATCTTGTTACTTTGCTGGGGGATCACGAGGAGGGTTACTTCGTTGTATGCGTACTGCAGGCAGCTTCATGGAGAACTGTGTCCCAGACGTACATCCACACAATGCCAAGCGGCGCATATGCTAAAAGTGTCGGTGCGGATGCCATTGCAGTGTTGGGCCAAAACGAAAATGAGAAATTTATTTATCTCTGGGAAACAGGAACAGAGGATTGGGCTATCGTCGGTTTTTTTTCCCCAAACGTTGCGATATCGTTTGCGCTTGTCTGGGATGACGCATCGTGCCATGTTTCACCCGCGTACACCTCGCCCATGCGGTACGTTTCTACCACTACAGCTTTGGTTTATGTTGAGGTTCCCTTTATTGCCGCGGCACCGACACCAACCTCCGTACTGTATTCGTGCTACTATGTTGAAAACGCACCTGTCTTACCACTTCGCATTGAGCAGCGTCGCGAACGGCAAGTTAGCGTGCTGAATCTATCGCTTTCCTCCATTAACTATCTTCCTCACTTTGCTATTCGATACAACACAACGGAAAACACCACTATCATTCTTTCCGATCCTTTGAGCCCTCCAATCACCCAACTGGGACTTTTCCTTGTCGCTTCGCCCGAGGAAGAGGATGCGGCTACTGGCTGCTTACCCAATGCCCGGCGGCACGTCTTACTCCTAATGGTGCAAGTGAATAAACTTGGATTGCGATACGTAAGTATTGCACCGAGTGTTCCCGCATTGCTAGGCTCTGCAGGACGCGAAGTTTACTTGCGTCTGTGTGCTACCGCTTCGAAGAGTGTCAGCCCACGTTTTGTTCCTGTTAGTGCATATCTGGTTATTAATGACATTGGTTCAGTGATACAAGCGGATCCGTTTTCGTTGCAGCTTGTTTTTCGTGCTTTGAACAACACCCACCGCCCGCTGTCGCTGCAGGGATGTGCAGAGTTTGTGCAACAATATGTCGTCAGCGTGACAGGTCGAAGGTCTGATCAGCGAGGAGTTTTGATAACCGCCAATGGTAACAACAGATTCCTTCTTTTTATTGAGCCGACTTTGGAGGTAACAGGCGAGAACGCCATCAAACAGCTGCGGGCTGTTTACAAGGCGATGATGTCAGGGAAGATGTTGCCTTTGCGTGTTGGGTCTGCGGATGGTTTGTGGTTTGTTCTTGACTCGGTGGAGGGTGTGCATCTCTTTAACCAGACACACCACTATGGATTTCCGCGTGTTGTTGTGACAAGCGTGGGTGGGACCGATAATACACCCAACAAGGACTTGGTGAAGCAGATTATAACGATATGTTGTATCATCATTCTGCCTGTCGTTGTGGGGTTTGTTGTCTTCTCCTTGCAGCGTACTATACCAAGGTTGAACCGGCTAAACCTGGGCAAAGGCTGGCTGAGGCGAGCGAACAGCAATGACAACAACAGGCATGGCGAAGCGACCTACAAGGCCGATTCTGCTGTGCTGGGCAACCAAATAGGCGACTCTCCGTCCCCGCGCACCCCGCAGTCGGTAGAGATTGGCACACAGCTCACCTCCTTTACCATGGAGAACTCTGCCGCCAACCCGTTGTACGGCTCGGATGGTGATGAGGCGCCAACCTCGTTGGGCTGCACACCGCCGGTAGGCAATGCTACCTTCTCCATGCGTGAATGTGGAGCATGGGAAGTGGACCAAAACTGACATGGTGGGGGAAACACATGAAAAAAATATCCCCGAGTTGAACGAAGAAACAACGAGAACGACCCAATGGGCGAAGAACAGCAAGAGCAAAGATAAAAATAATAATAATAAAAATGGCAAATATGTAACGACGCGGACGTGTGTATTATTATTTTTTTGTTGTTACTTTTTCATTTTTATTAGTGTCCGCCTACCTCTTCATGTCGCTGGGTTTGTCTCGTATTTATTTATTTTTTGTTTGTTCCTTCTTTTTTTTTTTAGTTTTGTCGTGCAGTCACTTTAACAGTGCATGCATGCAGGTGTGCCAGAGGAAGACAAGAAAGAGTTGTACATGCTGTGGCTCTTTCTGCTTTGTACCTCTTCCCTTTTCTCTTTCCGTGTGTGTGTTTGTGTGTAGGGCTTCGGGAGAACATGCGTGTCTCCATGTAAATATGACTGTGGACACCTTGTTGTATTCATTAGTTAGTTTTATTTTACGTTTTCTTGTGCGCCGATTTTTTGCCTTTCATTTTGACTGCGCTGCTGTCGTTTGCACAGGGCGGTTCGTTTTGCTTGCCAGGTGGATACTTTGCGTCTCTTTCTCTGGGTGTGTGTTGCTTTGCGTTTTGGGAGGAAAGCAAGAGAAAGCCTGTAAGTTGTACAAGCATGTCGCGTAACGTTGCCGCCGAGGAGGACTGGGAGGACGTGGAAGCCGTCGAGGAGGAGGAGGAAGAAGAAGATACGACCATTAACAACTCGAATGTGATGATGCGGTATAAAAAGGCGGCCTTGTGGTGCAATGAAACACTGCAGGTGCTACTTGATGCCACAAAGCCTGGCGCAAAGGTGTATGACCTCTGCACGTTGGGTGATGAGACAATTGCGAAGAAGCTCAAGACGATGTTTAAAGGCACGGAGAAGGGTATAGCGTTCCCCACATGTATTTCCGTAAACAGCTGTGTGGCACACAACAGTCCATCTGCTGACGATGAAGCGGCCTCCCAAGAGATTCAATTGGGGGATGTGGTTCATTTTGATTTGGGTATTCATGTGGACGGGTACTGTGCGCAGGTGGCCCATACCGTGAAAGTAACTGAAAATAATGAGCTTGCTGCTGATGAGAAGGCTACAAGGGTTATTTCCGCAACTCACAGCATTCTCGACACGGCTATACGCAAGATGCGACCCGGGACCAACGTTTATGATGTGACGGAGATCATTGAAAAGGCTGCCACGCACTACGGTGTTACCCCTGTGGATGGCGTTCTTTCGCACATGCTGAAGCGTTACATTGTTGACAGCTTTCGGTGCATTCCACAACGGAAGGTAGCGGAACATCTTGTGCACGACTACAAACTGGAGGCAGGGCAAGTGTGGACGCTCGACATTGTTATGAGCTCTGGAAAGGGCAAACTAAAGGAGCGTGATGTACGGCCGACCGTCCACAAGGTAGCGCTGGACTCCAACTACGCCATGAAGATGGAGTCGGCGCGTGAGCTTCAGCGTGAGATTGAAGCAAAGTACCAGACGTTTCCTTTTGCGCTGCGAAACCTGGAGACAAAGAGGGCTCGTCTAGGTCTTTCAGAGATGGTGAAACACAACGCCGTGGTCCCGTATCCTGTTTTGTATGAACGAGATGGTGAGGTGGTTGGTCACTTCAAGGCCACGGTGTTGATTACCGGCAAGAAGATTGAGCCTGTGACGGGACTCAAGCCGCAAAAGGCACCGGCGCTGCCGGCCTACACCGACGAGCTCTTGCTGACAACGAGCAAGCTGTCTTTGTCTCTTGAGGAGAAGAAGCGAAAGAATTAAGCGGCGCCAGGACCCAGGCACGTGCACAAGCCCGCGTCTGTCGCGAGCGATGACCGAGCAGGGAACGAAAGCAGGAAGCGGGGTAAACAATATAAGGAGGCAAGCGAGATAAAAAAAACAAGAGCTGGCTCTCCCCTAGATGAGATGCTGCGGGGAAAAGGCAAAGGAAACAATCACAGGCGACAAGTCAGGGAAGATGTCATAAATAAATGCAAAAGAAACGACTTCACAAGAGAAAAAAAGGAGGCAAACGAAAGAAAAAAAAACTTGGAGGGATGAAGATCATTGAAGACAAGGGAGGAAATCGCCAGCGAAATTTTCTTGCACATAAGTGCTAACAGTATTGAAGGCATGAAAGTACGTTTTGCTCTTCCCTCCCCCCACCCCCTTCTCCTCAATTCCTTTGTTGTTGTTGTTTTTATTACTTGTGGAGGCATCTCCTCTTTTTTTTTTCAGCCAACCCTCCGCCACCATCGTTTTCTTACGTGTTGCACGTCATCTTGCCGTGGCCAGCGTGACCGTGTTTTTTTTTTCTTTCTGCTTAGTTGCTGGCTTGCAGTATTCTTTCTTTGTTGTGGATTTGTGTGGTTGGGTCTGTCTGCGTGGGTGAGAGTAGTAAAGGGCCCGCTGATAGAAGAGGGAAAAAGCGCTCGGCAAGGAAAATAGCAAGGGCAAAAGAAACACTAAGAAAAAAGGCGAAATAAACAGGACAGGGGATACAAGCAAGAAAGAGAAAATAAGAATAAATCACAGGACGGTTCAAGTCATGAGTGGTGTAGACGTCGAGGAGCTGCGTCAGGTGACACTTGGCAAGAAGCTAGGCGCTGGCAGTTTTGGTTCGGTTTATGCTGGCATCCTCCCCAGTGGTCGATTTGTTGCGGTGAAGGAGTTGGAGCTTGCAGAAGATGCTCCCACTAATACAGAGGTGGAGATTCATAAGAAGCTGGCACATGAAAACATTATTCGATACCTTCACAGCCATGTCGACACCGAAAGCTCACCGAAGCGGTTGTTTGTTTATCTCGAATTTGTTACAGGGGGTTCTGTGACATCACTTATGAAAACTCTTCCAAAGGGGCGCTTGCCAAATCCAGTGGTGCGGGTTTACGCTCGCCACATGTTTTCTGGTTTGGAGTACTTGCACAGGAATCAGGTGGCTCACCGTGATATCAAGGGGGATAACCTGCTTATTTCTATGGACACAGGGATAGCGAAACTGGCCGACTTTGACCAGGCAAAAATTATGACGACACATGGAACTCTACGCAAGGCGGCCACTGCGACGCTTGCCGGTACACCGTACTGGATGGCGCCGGAGGTTATTACCGACGAAAGTGGATACAATCCATTTAAGGCGGACATATGGTCTGCGGGATGCACGGTGGCTGAGATGATAACAGGCCGCCCCCCGTGGACGCCAATGGCCAATGTAATGCACATTATGAACAGACTTGCAATGTCCTCCGGGTGGCCCGATGCGGTTCCAAAGGATCCTGAGGCGTTGGGTTCCCAGCATGCCTATGACTTTCTAGATCTTTGCTTCAAACGCGATGTTGCCGAGCGACCTGATGTCTCAACATTACTGAAGCATCCTTTTCTACAAATCTAGTATGGTTAGGAGTAAACTAAGTGGAGGGGTAAACAAAAACATAAATAAATGTACCTTGTTTTTTTGTCCTTGAGTGGGTGTGTATTATGCGAAAGTAAAGAGCGGGTACTGAAACATTCAAAATATGGATGAAAATGACGGTGCGGATGGAAAACGGAAATATGAAGGTAAAACGAAGTTGCAGTTGGAGGTGGACGATGAAAAGTGAAGAACAAAGGAAGGAAAGAAAAAAAAAAGTGAGAAATATCAAAAGTAGAAGATAAAATAAGATGCTTTTTTTTTTTTTTGAGGGGTGAGGTTTGCAGGGATCACCGAAGTAGAATGGAACATAGAAGGCGGAGCCACACAAAGGTATTTACACACGCACACAGTTAAGAAACAAAAAACAATATATATATATATATATTTATATATATATATATAATGCATATCTCTTTCTTTTGGAATATTACTTGAAAACGATATGAACGTCTTTTTCCCACCCGGACCCTCCGCGCGTTTTGATAACAATTGCTTCCGTGTGGACTTCTTTACACATATTTTCCTGTGCCAGTCTCTGTGTATATGTATATGTGCCAAGGAGAGGAGCAGCGCGAGCTCAGGATGCATGAGGGTGAGTGTATTCTTTTGCGTATCGCAGGATTTGTTGGAAGACGGCGCATGTGCATGCGCGAGGCACGAATTATTTGTGTACACGTTTCCGCTTTCTAACTTTTGAATACCCGCTTTTTCCTTATGCTGTTTAGCCGTTGGCATCCTTCTCCATGTAGGTGTGAAAATAACAAAAATGATGAGATCTACTGATGTCGGCTCTTTTTTTTTCTTTGTTATTATTCCATTTTTGTTTATCTCTTTTTCTCTTCTTCTTTATAACGTCTGCTACCTTTTTTTTTCTTTTTCTGTTGTTGTCCGCACGAGGCAGGAAACGGCTCTTCTCTTGTGGTTGACGTGGTTTTGTTTCTCAATGTTGATGCTTTTTTCCCCCTTTCTGTTCTCGCCGTCTTTGCGGACTCTGCTTGTGGTATCTGCATTCACTGCACAGTAGTTATAACAGGCCAGCACCACCCGTGTTTTTGGTTCTTGTTCTTTTGGTTGCAAGCATGGAGACAGTACGTTCTCAAGAGGCGCCAGACCGGCAGAAAACCGGCTTCACTCGCGTGGAAGAGAAATATCTCATTGACGAGGATGCTGTTGTTGGCCGTGGGGCGTGGAGCGTGGTGAAGCGGTGCACTCCAATCGCGCCCTATGAGCCCCCAGCGCTGCGACCTGGAATGAAGGTTGTTGTGAAAATCATTGAGAAGGAATATCTCATCTCTTTGACCAAGGGCAACGTGGAGCGGGCCACGGCCGAGGTGAAGCGGGAAATTGATGTTCTGCGACACATCCCAGCTCACGAAAACATTGTAACCTTTTTAGAGTATATTGAGTCTGAGATGGAGTTTCTTCTTTTTTTTGAGGAAGTGCAGTGCGGAGACTTGTGCGAGATTATTCTTCAAGCACCGGACGGGAAACTTACTGAGGAGAAGGCCAAACTCTACACGTACCAAATTATCAGGGCAGTTCTACATTGCCACATCCATGACGTTATTCACCGCGACATCAAACCAGAAAACTTGCTTGTTGGTGACGATGACAACATCAGGCTGACTGACTTTGGGCTTGCCAAGCGATCTAAAGGGGTGTGTACTTCAGCTGAACCACGGGAAATCTTAGATCCCGTTGCCCTTTGTATGCCGTATCCAGGGGCCGAGAGGCTTATTGGGAAACGCGTTGTCTGTTCCGATGTCATTGGTACCCCTCGTTATGGTTCCCCTGAGATGTTCTACGCGAAATTTACGCAAACATATTACGATGGCTTTAAGGCCGATACATGGTCCGTGGGAGTGGTGACGTACATTACACTCTCTGGCAGCTTCCCATACTCGGCGGCGGCACATGCCCCAGAGAAGGAGGTCTTTCGCACCATCATGGACACGGCACTTCCTGAGCCGCAGAGTATATCATCTGACGCACTGGATTTTATTCAGCGACTTCTTAATAAGGATCCGCATAAACGCATGTCACTCTATGATGCATTGAACCATCCTTGGCTAGAGGGAGTCTCAACCACGAGGGGTTCTGTTACAGTACCGAGAATACTTGAAAGGTTTTCTTCACTGGAGGTGACGGAGGCCTGTAATATATTTGATAAGGAGGCTAAAGCGCTGCATCAATGTATACGAGTGCTACAACGCGAGAATCAACATCTTCGTGATGAGCAAGAAAAGTATGAAGATGCACTTGTTAAACATGGAAGAGAGTCACGCGGAACCACCACACCACGGCGTGCAGAAACACCCACGGGGGGGTCTCGCGTGCGTGGAGCTCGGGTGCCGGGTGCCTCTGGCGTCGTGCGTATCGGTTCACCGTCACGAACGGGAGTGCGACCTGGCCGTAGTAGCGTCACTAATGAAAGTTCTAACGGCTCTGTGTGCCGTGCTTCTGCGCACCGTATAATGGCACGAAGCCCACTGGCTCGTAGTGCAGCAAGTACCGTTCGCCGTGGAACTCCCGCACGTGCAGGAGGCACAACCCCCATACGAAGTGGCACACCGTCGCGCCCGACAGGGCGATCTACTTCTACTGTGCGAGGCACCTCGACTCTCTCAAACGGTGTTGCAACCTCCACTTCCATCTCCCAACGGGCCTCTACGCCGGGTCGTACAGGCGTGCGTTCGACCACCCCGTCACGCTCCTCCGTTCTCAGTCACGTGACCTTGGCAAAGGAGCTCCATTTAGGGGATACTGTCACGTATAAGGGGTATCGTGCTGTTGTTCGCTTTAACGGCTCCACCGCCTTCGGCGCTGGAATTTGGATAGGTCTAGAGATGCTAGAAGGGAACGAAGGAACAAACGACGGTTCCTCATTTATTGATAAAAAACAGTACTTTACGTGTCCCAAGGGGAAAGGGGTGTTTGTGCGGGCGTCACAGGTAAAGAAAGTTTAGGATTCCCGTTGATGTTGTCGCCTTTCCTGTCCTTATCGTCGTCCCCGTTGTTGTTGTCGGCTTCTCGCATGTGGGAATCAGGAGGGAGAAACGGAGTAATAAGCCAAACAATATGCCTGAACTTTTTTTTACATGTGTGGTGTTGCTTGTAGATGCCTGGCCCTGGGTTTAGAACGTGGCATATAAAAAGAACATCCCTTAGTGGTGGTGTGTATGTGTGCATATGTTGTCCCCAAGAATAGAGAAATGGCGTCAGTGTTTGTAGCTGGCGTTCACGTAACATGTGACTTATCTCCCTTTATCTTTTTTTTTTTTGCCTCCTTTCTATGCACGGTGCAATGTTGGGAAATTGCACGGAAGAAGATTCTTGAAAGAGAGAAGAAAAAAAAAAAACGTGCGGAAAAAAGTAAAAAAGGAAGGAGGGAAGTAACAAGTAAGAAGAAGGAACGGCATGAGGGAAAATAGGAGGAGGAAAAACGCACAGAGGGGAGGGGGGGGGAGGGGGACAAAGGGCCGGACGCGCGCGAGGTGCTTGGTAGTTGTGATGGTTGTTTTCGCCAGACTACCTTTTTTTTTATTATTATCTCCGTGCGGGCCCCGTTACACGCGAGGAGCGGCACAAGTAACACTGCAGCGTTCTTTTTTCACGATGTGTCAGCAACCCACTGCATTGTTCTGTTCCTCCGTATCAATACATGTGTGTTTTCCCCATTATTTCTCTTGCTCGCCAGTATCAATTCTTCCTTATCCTTCCCTTTTTATATTCCTTTTGTTTTTTTTGTTTTTGGTTTGCTTTCTCTGTTGTTGTTCTGTTGTGAAGTATTTGATCGCTTTCAGTTCTGGAGCCAAGTGATGACAGACGAGGTGGTCCACCTTTTAACTGATCCTCATTGCGTGCACCATTTATTTTTTTTTTTGTTTTGCGTCCTAAAGTCAAGCAAAGGATGCCTCTAGATGAAGGAGAGACCCTCTCAAGGGCAGTGCAGCAGCTTCGCCGAGCGTGCGGTGATATGGTTAGCGCGACCGCCGAGTTGGGAACAGCGCGTGACGCCATGGCGCGCGAAAAGCTGCGGAAGTCGCGCATACTAGTCACGCAATATGAGGAGAAGGTTAGTGGGATTCTTGCCATGGGTATAGACGCGGAGTTGGTCTCTCTGCGGGGAGATTACAACGCGGCGAGGGCAGAATTTGATCAGGTCAACAAGGAGGCGATTCGAAAGGAGAAACAGACGTGGCGCCCTACTACTAAGGCTGATTCGGTCGAGGGAGAGAAGCGTGGCGCTGTGGGTGCAGCTCTCATGGCCCAGAGCCCTGGGCGTTTGCAGGAGATCAGGGTTGTTGACATGTCGAGGCTCCATACGGAGGAAGCTCTCCAGCGGGAAAAGCTTCTCGGCGTGCGAGAAATAGAGACCAACATGATGGATCTTCACACCATGTACCAGGAATTCCATGATCTTTTGCACCATCAGCAAGCCAATCTGGACATTGTAACGGAAGGCGTGTCGGGTGCCAAGACGTCTGTGGAGGGTGGAAGGAAAGAGCTCGCAGTATCCTCCAGACGGCAGAAGTGTGGTCGAAAGTTGCTGTTTGCCATTACTGTCGTGTTAGTTATTGTCATTATTGTAGTGATTGTTGTGGTGTTTCTTGTGAAGAGCTGAGGGGTGATGAGTTGTGCGTGAGAAAGGAGTAGGAGGGGGGGGGGACATTTTGAAAAAGAGGCCAAACCGTTTTTTTTTTAATATTTACGAGATGCTGTACTGAAACAGCTCGATTTTCTCCACATCAGGTTGTGCATTGTTTTTTTTTTCCCTCTCTGTGGATATGTATGTATAATATATATTCTAGTTTTCGAGTTTTTATTTTTCTTTCTTTTTGTTTTTCATCTAGCGTTATTAGTGTTGCCAATTGTTTTTTGTTTCTCCCTGACCGTGCCAGCGTGGATGTTAGTGGGGGCGTGCAGACGAGGAGGAGAGGTGTTGGGTGCAAGAAGTAGCTGTGCTGTGCCTGAGGTGGGGGGGAGTGCGTGCGATTGATTTTTTCTGCTGAGTTACTTCCACCTGCTCCTCTCGGTTCTTTTGTGTATGCGTGTGTGCATCGACTGGTTGCTTTTGCCTTTTTGTTTTCTTTTTGTGGTGCTGTGGGCAGTTCAGTATCATTGCTACTAATTTGCTAAACCCCACTGCATGGACTTTTTGGAAGATTCCCTGCCACAGCCGAAGCAGGATGTCAATTCAGTCTTTGGGGACGTTGATGCACCAACACAGACGACAGCAACGGAAGGAGCGGCAGCAGCGTGGCCTGCCCATGTGCCGCCCGAGGTTCTCCAGGGTAGTAACACCGACGATTTTTTGTCCGGTGACAGGGCATCGCTTGCGTCACCTATTGAAACAGAAACTAATGGTTATGGTGTGACCGAAGCCGTTCAAAAGGAAATCGAGAAGCGGACACAAGATATAGATGCGGAATCTAAGAAAAAGGCAGATCTCCAGACAGCTGCTGCAGAATCATACATGAGGCAAGTCAAGGTCCAACATGAGACGATGCTCAAGGAGAGGAAGTCAGAAAACATGCAACAACAAAAATCAAATGAAGCGATGCGAAATGAGTTTAAGAAAAATGGTGCAGTTTGGAACAGCGTGGGGTTGATGACTGACCTCAACAAGGCAAATAAGTATTCTAAGAGTACAGAGCGCATGAGGACTATTTTGAAGAAACTAAATGATACAAACCAGAGTGAAACATCACAGCCTTAGCGAGGGTAACAGCAGCCACAGTAAGACGTGAAACCCAAGCAAGGCACACCTGCCGGGTGGAGAAAGAAAGGAAGAGGAGGTGCTTTCCATAGAAGTCATGGAAAAAAACTTGAAAAGGTGTGTCTTGTTTCGTGAAACTTCCATCGTGTTTTAGTTATTGTTATATATGGGCCTCTTTCCATGCTTCCAGCGGTTTCTATTTTTGTTGCCTTTACTTTTTACAGTAATGACAATGGTCTTCATTGTCGTTATTAGCTCTGTTTTCCTCTCCACATTCTACATCATTATTATTATCATTATTTTGTGTGCGTCTGTGTTTTTGTGTGTGTGTGTGTTTTTTTTTTGCTCTGCGTTGTACTAGCTGTTTTTTTATTATTTTATTTTGTGTTCTCTCCTTTTTCGCAAAGTGTTTATTTTCTCTGACTGAGAATGCGTGGAGGCCGTGGTGGCGGCGGTGGTCGCGGAGGCCGTGGCGGCAGCTTTGGCCGTGGTGGTCGCGGGGGCGGTGGTGGTCGCGGGGGCGGTGGCGGTCGTGGAGGTCGAGGCCGCGGTGGTGGGGGCCGTGGTGGGGCCTCGGCGGTGCGGGGCAACGTTTTTCAGCCTCATGCTCGTATGCGTGGGTGCTATCTGCTTGCCGGCAAAGACACCCTTGCAACGAAGTCCCTTGTTCCTGGTGTTTCCATCTACGGTGAGAAACGGGTCAGTGGGACCATTGCCGGGGAAACCGAGTCCACTGAGTTCCGTGTGTGGAACCCGTACCGTTCAAAGTTGGCGGCGGCTATTTATTCGGGTGTTGCCCAGATCTATATGGAGCCGGGATCTTCTGTACTGTACCTTGGAGCCGCCAGCGGAACCACTGTTAGTCATGTTTCAGACCTGGTAGGGCCAGAGGGTGTTGTATATGCGGTGGAGTTTTCGCACCGCAGTGGTCGTGACTTGGAGGAGATGACCAAGCGCCGAAGCAACATTGTGCCCATCCTGGAAGATGCACGCTACCCACAGAAGTATCGGATGCTGATCCCACGGTTGGTGGATTGCATTTTCATGGATGTCGCCCAGCCTGACCAGGCACGTATCCTAGCGTTGAATGCGCAACACTTCTTGAAGGAGAATGGCGGGTTTGTCATTTCCATCAAAGCCAACTGCATTGACTCCACCGCGAATCCTGCCACGGTATTTGCCTCGGAGGTGCAGAAGCTGAAGGACTCTGGTTTGAGGCCCAAGGAGCAGGCTTCACTAGAGCCCTTTGAACGTGATCATGCCGTGGTTGCGGGGTACTACAAGTCGCCACCGAAGTGAACCAAAATTATAGCCCTCAACTCTGCGGCTTGCAGGGCCTCGATTCGGAGAGAAGTGGCATCGTGGGATGCGTCTAACTGCAAGTTGACGTTATGGTTAACGCTAAAATGAAATAAAATCCGATAATCAAGCATGAATGAAGAAAAGGGGAAAAAGGAACAACGAAAGAAAAGGGGAAAGAAAAGAAGGAAAATGACTCACAACATCGGTTTTGTCAGGAAGACGCAGGCAGAGGAAAGAAAAGAAAACAAGTAGTGACTTTCTGTCGTTTGTCTCCCTTTCATTTTCCTTTTTTTTTTTGGTTTTGAGTAATTGCCCGTTATGGTTGATGCTTGACGTGGGTTCCTTCATCTGTATGCGTCTTTATCACATGTATTTATCGTTCCTTTTTCTTCTTCCGTTTTTTTTTCGTTTTGATTGTTTCCTCGCGTGCCTGCAGTGCTAAAAGGTGAGCAACTCGAAGGTTCTGTCAAATGATACCGCGCACGGCGCAAATACGCCAGCAGCAGGCGAATGAGAGACGCAACAGGTTGGAAGAGAGCGCAGCTCGTGCGGCGCGGGAGGACATGTTTGCTCGACACAACGTCATGCGGGGTGTGCGTGTTGGAGGCGCGCGTCTTGCAAACACCAACCGGTACACACGCCGAGACCCAAACCGAGGCATCATCACACAAGCTGAGTGGAATGAGCTGGTAGAACAGCATGAAGATTCCGGTTTTAAGTTTAGGTTTTTATTCCTTGGGCTTGTCCTTTTTTCCGTTGCTTTATTAGCACTTGCGAAGTATGACATGGAGTTCAACGTGGAGCCCCCTCAAATTGAAAGCGGGAAAGGGTTTGGGGAAGTTGCCTCGGACAAGGGCACGGGCAAGAATTTAGAGGACTTGGAGAAGTACTATGAAACACTCGGTGTGAAGGGCCGGCTGCAGTCCAGTGACACAGAAGCTGGGGCAGAAGAGGATGGACACGATGCGGATAAGGAGCGGCGGCGGGAGAACTTTCGCGTTCGCAAAGAAATTCGTCAAGCGTACAAAACGCACCAACAACAGCGCGGACAGCTTGTGCATTGTGGTCGAAGCTGTGAAGCCCAAAGCAAGCAGGTGGAATTGGCGTACAATCGTTTGGCCTCTCAAGTGGATCGTGAGCTATACGGGGTTTTGGTGGGTGCGAAGGACACCAAGTCCAAGCGGTCTTTAGATGCTGCAGAACTAAAAAAGGCGTACGAAGTAAAGAAGAAGGAACTGGAAGAAAATGAAAAGGATGAGGAAGATCGAGAGATGGCCTTGGAGGAACTCAAGGATGCGTATGACATTCTTGTGAATCCAGAGGCTCGCAGCTATTATCTTCTGTACGGAATGAAACCCCCAGAGCATATGCGTCACATGAGTGCTAGAAGTGGCGGCTGGGGGCAGGAAATGACACTGGGCGTGTACAAGAACCGGTTTATTTTGGCTTGGCTGGACTTCCTTCATGGTTACATTGGACTTTGGGGGGAAACTGTGGTCCTTATTGCCGCATTGGCCTTCTTGCTTTCACGTGTTCCAATGGCGCTAAAACAGTCCCAGCGTCTGCTGGATGATCTTGATTGGGAGGCCTCTGTGGAAGAAACTGTTCAGGGCAGAAGCAAAAAGGACGAAAACTCCGAGTTGAAAGCGTGAACGAATGTCGCTGTTGTTGCCGTTTTTTTTTTTTTTGGTACTGCATTTTTGTATGTGCGCTTTTTGTGTGTGTGTGTGTTTGATTGTTATGCTTTTTTGTTTCCACCCGGTAAGGCCTTTTCTTTTTTGTCCCACCGAGTATTGCTGCCGAAGGCTGTGTGTAAGAAATGCTTTTTTATATATTCTTGCTTTTGTTTTTACACTATTGCCGCGGCTGGTGAGGTGAAAATGGTGTGGAGGGCACACACACACACACACGAAACAAAACAAAACAAGAGAAAAAGAAAAAAAAAAGAACGACAATGTAAGATGAAAATGCTAAGTCATCGAGGGATGTTTGTTTTTGTTTTTGTTTTTGTTTTTACGGGGTGCGTGATTGAGATGGGCTGGACGATTATTATTATTGGTGGTATTACTAGTTCTTTTTTTTATCCTTTCCCGCTGTCGTGCATACGACGCGTTGACAACGATGCACGCTCTCTACCAATATAACACCAAAATGCGGTGTAGCAGGAGTCGTTTCAAGCAAGACCACATCAACAGATGCATAAGCAGCAGGACTACTATACCCTTCTGGGGGTTTCGAGGACGGCGTCTAAGGACGGTATTCGTGAAGCGTACAAGTTAAGGGCGCTTGAACTCCACCCGGACAAGAACCCCGAGGGAGAGGCCGTGTTCAAGTTGGTGCTGAATGCGTATCAAGTCCTTGGATCCCCTACAAAGCGAATGAAGTACGATCAAGAAATGGCATTACGCGATGGCCGAAGACCGGCGCCCACGGCCGCATGGCGCCAAGGACCAAGACCAACGAGGGGCAAAAATTCAAGCCCAGGAGCACCAAACCCGGCACCCGCCCCATCCTTTTCCGATGGTGCTTCTAGAAAGCCTGTTGATGAGAATTTATTTGAGGATATTTACAAACAATACCAAAAAGGAACGTATGGAGGCTCTGTCCCTATAGGTAAGGACTACAAGGACGGCTTTCGTGGCGCGGGGGCAAACCAACAGAGTTTTTCAGAATGGTTCAAGCGAAAACAAGAGGAACTTAGACAAGCTGAAGAAGTTTTCAAGGCAAAGCTAGATTATGCGAAGAAACTAGAGGTTGAGGAGAAGCGGCGTGCGGAAGAATGGCGGAGACTGCAGCAGCAACGGGAGCGAGAGAGGGAGGAAGAGCTCGAACGTGCACGCGCTCAGCGAGAGTGGGAAGGCGAGTTGCTCCGTCGTGAAAAGGAAACAGCCGCACGGATTCGCAAAGCGGAGGAAGAGAAGGTAAAACTGGATGCTTACACCGAAGTTCAGAAAAAACAACAAGAGCATCTGGACGCTCACCTCAGGGATCTCGCGATGATGAAAAAGGAGCTTGAGGATGAGCGTCGTCGCCTGGCGGCTGAGCGAGAATTGGCGCGCCAAGAGTCAACGGATCAGCAAGAAGCACGTCGCGAACGGCAAAAGAAGCGCGAGGAGGAAATGGCATTAGAGCTTCAACGCGCGGAAGCTAAGATAGAGGTGGCTCTCGCCCACCAGGCTGACTACGAGGCGTACGAAAGAGAACGCGAGGAGCAGCGGCTACGGGATGAAAATGCACGCAAGCTCGAGGAGGAGTACCGGCGTCAGACAAACCTTCACGAGGAGGAGACTCAGCGACAGTTCAATGCAGCGCAAGAAGAGGCCCGTCGCAAGGCTTCAGAGGAGCTTGATGGGAAGCGAAGGGCCATATTGGAGCAACTTGTAAAGGAGCGGCAGCGACATCAAGATGATGTGGAGGCAATGCGGCGGGAGACGGATCGCATTGAGGCTGAGATGCAGGCGAAGCTCGATGCTTTGAGGAAGGCGAAGAAGTCTGGGAAACCGATCAACCTGGACGAGTGGAAGTTGTAGAGGTGTCTGCCAATTCGCTGGCACCGTGGAACATGTGCTATGGTTGAAATCTGTGAAAATGAAAAAGTGCCATTCGCTTATGTCCACTTTTATGTATACATATACATTATAAAATACCATTTTTTTTTTTTACCTTTTATGTTTTTCTTCTTGTTGTCATTGTTGACTTGCCCCTTATCAAAGCATAATATTGGATAATTTTGCATTGCTGTGATACCTGCAACCACGCATGAGGTTTGCTTTGAGGAGTGAGCGTGTTTTGTGTTTTTGTTTCTGTTTCTGAGAGTGATGTATTGTGGCTCATTCTATTTTGTTCCCCCCATTCTGAGTTCTTTTCTTCTTAGCGGCAAAAGTTTTTTTTTTTTGACGCTTTTGAAATAATAAAATGTACGGTGGATACGGGGCTTATGGGGGCGGAATGTCCCCCATGTATGGGGGCTACGGAGGCGGAATGTCCTCCATGTATGGGGGCTACGGAGGCGGAATGTCCTCCATGTATGGAGGGGGGTTAGGCACAATGGGGGGACTGACAGGCGGTATGTCTGGGGGCATGTTTAACGGAGGCATGCCAGATGGGATGAATGGGCTTTCAACATTGCCCAATACTCAGGGGACAAATAATAGTATACTGCCACCGCAATCGGATCCACCTCAGACCTATGTATCCAGTAAGCCTGCTATAGAGGAGGGCCCGCACGAACGCCGAGCGCGTCGACGAAAGGAGCGTAAAGAAGAAAAAGAGGCACTTGAAAAACATCGCCAACAAAAGAGGCAGCTTGTCATACATTCAGCCATTCAAATTACGGGTCATGTGTTGCAGACTCTGATTCAAATACTGCGTTCAGGTCTGGAGCTTTTTGGTGTCGGATTTGGTACTTACTACAGTATCAAGGCTTTGAAGGCTCTCGTACAAAGTCAAGAAGACAGTGTTTTACGCAAAGTCACCAAAGATAAATTTGCAAGTGCTACAAAGGAAACGGTGAATGGGGACTCAGCGCCTGGGACAAGTAAATTGAAAGGACAGCTTTTAATATCAGCACTTTTTATTTTAATGGAGGTACTCTACAGTCTGCAACAGCGTTACCGTGGCGCACGGGAGCGGCGAACGACGCGCCGTGAGGATCTCGGTATGCTTGGCAACAAGGATGAGGAAAGTTTGGAGGAAAGTCTTTCGCAGAGTGAAGAGCTGAGTGACGATGAGGCGTCCTCAGAATATTCTACGGACTTTACGGAATCCTTGCTTGGTGGCATACACAACAAGAGTGGTAAGGGCAAACGTGTTTTCGTTGCCGTTTTTGACTACGAGGCCCCAGATCGGGAAGGGTTCATTGGCTTTAAGGCAGGTGACCGTTTTGTCATTGAGGAATATGCGGATAGTGAATGGTGTGAAGCGTTTCAGATGGACGCATCTGAACGGCCCGTAAGAGTAGGGCTTGTCCCCGGCAACTTTCTGCGTCCACTGGAGGGGGAAACGAAACTCTGATGGACCAATTACTGTCTCCGCGTTCACTTCAACGCAAAATCTTTATAGGTGGTGGGGTATCATGTAAGAAATGATATGACACACACTTTTTTTTTAGGCTATTTTCGGCGCAATGTGTTACTTTATTTACATTCAAGGGCGCGATGAATCATCTTCTCTAAGTAAAACGGCATCATCAGACATGTTGTGAGTTCGTATTGCGTTTCTCTCTCTATTATTGTGTGATCTTATAGTTTACCTGTTTTCCTACTTCTCTATATATGTTTCTTGTTTCCCGTTCCACATATTAATGTCATTGTTTTTGACGATTCATATATTTTTCTTTTTTTAACTTAAAATCTTGCTACTTTTTGATTAGCCGCTTGTTGAGTAAATACCGGACAACAATGGCTGACGCCCAACCCGCACCTTCTGGTGAACAGCGCGGCTTCGGCCGGGGCCGTGGTGGACGCGGCGGCCGTGGTGGCCGTGGTGGCCGCGGTGGTCGCGGTGGCAGCAACGAGAAGGAGGAGTGGGTCCCTTGCACGAAGCTTGGGCGCCTTGTGAAGGAGCAGAAGATCAATTCACTGGAGGAGATCTTTCTCTTCTCGATGCCCATCAAGGAGCATCAGATTGTGGACCAGCTCATCAGTGAGAGTGAAATGCGCGACGAGCTGATGCTCATTGTCCCTGTGCAGAAGGCGACGTCAGCCGGTCAGCGCACGCGCTTCAAGGCCTTCAACATTGTTGGCGACGGCAATGGCCACATTGGTGTCGGCGCCCGCGTCGGCAAGGAGGTGTCGCTGGCCATTCGCGCCT